AGATTACACAAGAGAAGAGATTTCCTGCACGGGCAGAAGTGGTCCTTATCCCAATGACAGGAAAACCCAGCCTGTACCCAGGGCTGTTCATTTTCACTAGCCCTTGCCGGATGGTGCGGCCTGTCAGAAACCTCCTGTTTGGAAAGAACGAATGGATTGGGACTCTGGAGCAGGTGGGGTTTGCATATTTCCGTGTTACAAAGGTACCTGGCATCAAAAAGGGGGTTGGAAAATACTTGTGAAAGGAGCTGGGCATAGAGAGCTCGAGTTTGAAGAGCTGGAATAGGTGACAAAAGGGGTTTTTTCACTCCTGCAAATTGATTTCTGGTCAATATCTTAGCTGGACTTTTTGAGATGCTGAAATCTGCTCTCAGTATTARCTTTGTGAAGATCTGAGGTGGAGGATTGCTGCCTTGTGCCTACTGTGTTACATCACGTTTGCCAAATGGCTCCTGGGCAGCCACGCAGTGGCTTGCTGGGGAGCTTGTCCACTTGGAACAGTTAAAGTGGGAGACAGAAATGAGGACTCATCACTGCAGTTTTGTATTTCAGACTTTCTTTGCAGCTAATCTATGCTAGGTGCTTTACCAGCTGTCTGGTTTGCAACCACARCTAAAACTGAAATGGATAAAAAGCCATTGAAGACAGCTTTGGTTTGTTTCCTTCCTTTTAAAAGAAGAAAATGAACAAGGATTATCCAATTTGATGCTTGCAGATCTTCATGAACGTGGCCACACTGGAATCAGAGGTGGTGCCTGGAGTGACCACTCACCAGGAACTSTTCCCTCACAGCATTTTGAGCGTGGTGGCCAATCTCATTCCCTTYTCTGACCACAACCAAAGTCCTCGGAACATGTACCAGTGCCAGATGGGTAAGGGCTGTAGTACCCAGCACTGCAAGTCCCTGGGCAAGGGGATCAACACTTCATTAACACCTTTAGTATATTGCATTTCCGACAGTATTATCAGAAAGGTGTCCTTAAAACACTGCCTCTTTCTCATACTTTTCTGCAAGTATGACTTATATTCAAAACTCAATTTCCTTGCCAGGATATTTATGCTGCAGAAGCAAATGCTTTTTGTCCTGGAAATATGTAACATGTGCTTCCCTACGGGAGACACTGAAGACAAGACACACATACATCCAACAAAACAAAAAATGATCCCAAAAAAATCTCCCAGCAAGCAAAACCAGAAACACCACACCAGCCTTTGGGGATTTTGAAATTGCAGAAAAGAAAACAAAATTAGATCTGATCTTTATGAAGTGCTGTGAAAAGAATTGAGTATTGTGGTTCGTAGAAAAATTATGGCCAGGCTTAGGGCAATTATTAAATTCCAAGGGGTTTAAGATTGATAATCCCTGTAAATTTTTAAATATTTCCAGTTTTTTTCTTAAGATACATGGAGGAATAAACCCAAGTTTCCCTCCTTCCCTCCAGGAAAGCAGACCATGGGGTTTCCAGTTTACAACTACAAGGATCGCTCAGATAACAAGCTGTACCACCTACACACCCCTCAGAGCCCTCTGGTGAGGCCCAGCATGTATGACTATTATGGGATGGACAGCTATCCCGTTGGCACCAACTCCATCGTGGCTGTCATCTCCTACAGTGGCTATGACATGGAAGATGCAATGGTAAGCCTTGAGAAGGAAAAATCCTGCTGTCCTGCAAAGGAATTTCATGTGGGGGACTGGAAGTAAGGGTGCTACACAGCTGAGAAGACCCCATTTTCTGCTTCTGGTTGTCCTCAAGCTTTTGGGGCAGATACAGCAGGCAGTGCTGGAAATGCTGCAAGTAGACAAAAGGTCCCTTGTGCAAGCCTTCCAGCTTTAAAAGACACTGGGATTATGGGAAATTTGAGTTTTTTTGAATGGTGACTTACTGGGAGGCTTTGTTTAAAAGGGCAGTGTTACCATTTTGATCTGATGTTCACCTTCGTAAACATTTTCTTTTTTGAAGTTATTAGCAATAAGTCTTTAACAGGCCTTTGTTTCTTCTTCCAGATTGTAAACAAATCTTCCTGGCAGAGAGGGTTTGCTTATGGAAGTGTTATCAAGGTGGAGAGCATTGACCTTTCCCTTAAAGCCAGCCGGGCAGGCGATAATTTRGTATTTGGCATCAAGCCTGGTGATCCAAACGTCGGGGAGAAGCTGGATGCTGATGGACTGCCTTTTGTAGGGTCKGTGCTGCAGCCTGGGGACCCCTTCTACAGCTTCATGAACCTCAACACAGGGGAGACCTTCACTGTGTACTATCCGTAAGTACAGCTTGTCGCTCCTGGCTTCGCTCATCCCATGGGGGGAGCAGCTGGCCCTTTTCCTGGAGATGCTCCCTCTTCTCATCACATAATAGTGTCCATGGCTTGATTGAAAGTGTGAATTTCATGCTGTAGGTGACTCCCAGGCATGCATCACATCTTTTCTCCAAGCCAGTGTGTGCTGCAGAGCTGACTTAGCCCAGGAGGATTTTTTTTGGGGTGATTGCCTGTGCTGGTTGCATGTGGACATGACAGCAGTTAAGCCTGCAGCTGGCACATGGGATATCAGGCTCAGAGCTCATTTGGAGAAGGAGCACACCCCTGAACCAGCCATTTGTTGGCAAAGCTCACACTTTGCCTTCCCTTTCTGCTCTGAACCTCCCTCTCMGCTCAAAAACTGTACCGGGTTCTTTATTTTGGGATCCCATCATTTATTGGTGRTAGGGAGAGGGGCTGSTGCCTTAACACAAAGGAAATGGCAATGGGGTGCAGTTTATCAGATACAAAGTGTGATACAGATGAACCAGGTTGAAATGATCTTCATTTTAAATCATGGGTGGCACATTACCTGATCACCTGAAAGTTGTAGCTGAATGGCACTTAGAAGGTTCCCTTGTAATTGCTTCCTTGTCCTAATTTTTACACAGTCTGATTTTCCTCATCACTGAATACTGCTTTGAGGAATGGTATTGTTTCCAAGCTGTCCCATGATACTTTATAAGTGGTCTAGTTTTTTTGCTTTGTTTTTCTTTTGAAACTAAAAACTTAGCATGCCTGACACCTTTGCTGTGATTGTTCCTCCACCTACACAGGAGTAAGGAAGTGGGCATCGTAGACAAYGTTAGGCTGTGCAGCAATGACCGTGGCACTGGGAAGTTCAAGAAGGCTTGCATCACTGTGAGGGTTCCCCGAAACCCCACTATTGGAGACAAATTTGCCAGCCGTCATGGACAGAAAGGTATCCTGAGCCAGCTCTGGCCCGTTGAGGATATGCCCTTCACAGAGAACGGGATGGTTCCAGACATCCTCTTCAACCCGCACGGCTTTCCCTCCCGGATGACCATTGGGATGTTAATTGAGAGCATGGCAGGGAARTCAGCAGCCCTGCACGGTGTCTCCTATGATGCCACTCCCTTCACCTTCACGGAGAAGAAATCTGCTTTGAAATACTTCGGTGAGACTTTAGTGAGCGCAGGGTACAACTTTTTCGGGACGGAGAAGATGTACAGCGGCATCAGCGGGGTGGAGCTGGAGGCAGAGATCTTCGTGGGCGTGGTGTACTACCAGCGCCTGCGCCACATGGTCTCTGACAAGTTCCAGGTGAGGACCACGGGGCCCCGCGATGCTGTCACCAACCAGCCCATCAAGGGGAGGAATGTGGAAGGCGGGATCCGCTTTGGCGAGATGGAGCGGGACGCTCTGCTGGCTCACGGCACGTCATTCCTGCTGCAGGACCGCCTGTTCAACTGCTCCGACGGCTCCGTGGCCTACGTGTGCACGAGCTGTGGCAGCATGACATCCCCTGTGCTGGAGAAACTGTCCCACTCCTCCGTGACCAGCAGCAGGAGGTACTCCTGCTCCATCTGCAGCGAGGTGGACGCCATCGAGGTTGTCCCAGTGCCCCATGTGTTCCGCTACTTTGTGGCTGAGCTGGCGGCCATGAATATAAAAACAAAGCTCAACGTGGAGTAGCGAGATGTTTGGAGGGAGGRGGCACATACAGTCTTGTCTTTGTCCCTGACTTTCAGGTGTTAAGTCAGCTCTCAGGTTCTTCAAATGCATTCAATATTAATTTGATGTTACTATTGTGATAGAGTCATTGCCAAGCTGTAGGGCAAGGAAAGATGGCTCTGTTGAAGTTTGTTTGGACCTCCTAAAGGATCATCAGCTATTGAAATGTGTATCAAAATCAGGCAATACTGCTGCTCCCATCAAGCTCCTGGGTTCAGAGTGATGGGCTCTTTGTTCTTTGAGCRTTGGCTGAAGCTACAGGGATGAAGAGGTCATAAAACAGCACGAAGCAAATGCTGGAAATTACAAAAAATATTTCTATTTTTTTGTTTTTTTCAAGAGAAATCTTTTAAAAACATGCCTTAATGATGGGTTTGTGTTAAAGTTAATGAATATATTTTGTTTTTCTTCAATACATGTGCCTTGAGTCATAAATAAGTTCTGCGTCATCAAGCTGCAGCTTTGGCTGCAGGTAACCAAGGTTGCCCTGTCAGGTGTATCCTGGAAGGGTTTGGCGTCACCAGGACGAGTGGTGCTGGGGTTTGGGGTTTGTTTCATGTTTATGGCTGAAGAAAGCAAAGGCTTTTCCAGCCTGGCTCCATCCCCGGATGGTGGTGCAGGTGCAGCAGGGACGCTATGGGACCAGAGCTCATCATCCCCCTGAGTGCAGGACAGCTGTCACCCCGCTGCAAGCCAGCCCTGTCCCCGATGTCCTCCGTCCCCCTCTGCCCGTCCCGACCGGGGCAGAGTGTGTGCCCTGTGCGCAGCCGTGCCGGCCGTGTCCAGAGTTCTGCAGTTTCTACACCCTCTGCCGGCAGCAGGGGGCCCGGGACCGGGGTCGGGGCGTGCTCCCAGGGCTTGGCAGGCGGGAGGTGGTGGGGGTGTCCCTGGGGGCGAAGCGCGGGGGCCGGGAAGGAGCAGCGGCCCCGGCGGGGCGGAGCRGAGCGGAGCGGGGCCGTACCACCGGCGGGGGAGCCCCGTGCCAGCCGCGGCCCCGGCGATGGGCGGCGCAGCTGGAGCTGCGGGTGGGGGCTGAGCCCGCGGCAGCACCGTGCGCTGCTGCCGCCATGGAGCTGCTCCAGGTGCTGCTGGCTGCCGCTCTGCTCCCGCTCCTRCCCCGTGAGTACCCCCGGGACAGCCCCAGGAGGCGGAAAGGCCATCCTGGGTGCAAAGGTTGAGCGCTGCCGCGCTGGCAGCCGTGCTGGGTGGGATGTGTGAGGGATGCAGTGCCCCTAAAGCTCTCTCCCTCAGCTGGCAGCGCAGCTGAGCCCCTGCCCACCCTGACCCCGCCGCTGAGCATGGTGCTGGCTGGGCAGCGCCGGCAGCTGGTGGTATGTGTGGTGAGCGACCTGGCCCCCAGCTCTGGCCATGCTGTGTGGATCGCCACTGGGAATGGCAGCATCCTGCAGTCCTTTGCCTATGGAGCCTCCCAGGAGGATGGTGGCACCGTCTGCTCCGTCTCTCTCCTTTCCAGTGACCCCCTGCGCGAGAGGGAGCTTGCCTGCCATGTCGGGGCCAACAGGACCTCCCCGTCCCACAGCTCCAGCCCCATCCACATCACAGGTATGACCCTGCTGCCGCCCCCTCTGCCTGCCTTGGCCACTGCTGCCCAGTGGGTGCCCCAGTTTACCCCGAGACTGGAGGTTGGCAGAGCCTTTGGGGCCAGCAGGGAGCAGGTGTGAGGCCAACGTTTCTGTCCCGATTGCCAGGCACAGGAAGGGGTTTGTGGCCAGCCCTRCCACACACCTGGTGTTGGGCTGCCAGCTCTCCCCAGCTGCTCTTTCATCCCACAGGCAATGAGGAAGCGGCAGAGCTGTGTAGCACAGCTGGTGAGTCTCTGGCCCCTGCCTGGTGGGAATGTCAGTTGCCAGGCAGAAAGTCCTGGCAGTGGCTTGGCTGGGGCTCTGTGGTGGTTGGGATGGGTTTTCCCACAGTGTGGTGGGACTGGGGAAGAGGGGAGGGAAGCTTCACCTTGGTGGGAACCATGGGGCAACTGGGTCAGAGCCTGTTTGCCCTCAGGGACAGCATGAGGGTGACATGAGGTGTTTCTGGGATGTATAAGAATCCCAAGTCTGCACAAACCTGGCCCCCTTGGCAGGCTTGGAGAGGACGTGGGGGCAGTGGGGTGTCTGTGGCAGGCATCACCTCACCCTTCCATTGCAGTGTCACCGACCTATGCCTTGGCAGTCCTGCTTATGGCCATCCGTGTGGTGTTGCTGAAGGTCTTGCTCTCTGATGCTGTCTTCACCTCCATCCTCCTTGCCCAGAGCTGAGGGCATGGGCAAATGCCCATGGCCAAAGGGTAAGTCCCCCTGCTTTGGTCCAGGGCTGGGGAAGCCACTGGAAATATTCTGGAGAGTCGAGAGAGGACCCCCAAATGCGGAAGGGAAGAGACACAACGTTGTTTGGCGGGTACAGGAATAAAGGATGGGAATCTTTGTTTGGGTGGAGAAGAGAGAGGGGCTAGCACGTTTTTGTGGGTGGCAGGGCCCTGGAATTACCTGGAGGATGGGAAGTTATCCAGAGTTATCCCAAATTATCCAGAGGCAGGGAAGGTGCCCCAATTGACCTCGGGGGTACAAGGTTTCCAGAGGCAGGGAGGGGTCCCGGGGGGTCGAGGTGCGGACCCCGAGGGGCGGCCGCCGCCACGTGCGCGCCCCTTCCCACGTGGGCGCTGGACGGGCCCGCCCGGGGGCGGAGCTCCGGGGGCCGCGCACCGCGGGGATTGGCTGGCGGCGGCCGGCGGGGATGGGTTACGCGGGTCACGCGCGCCTTCGGGATTGGCCGGCGCGGCGGGGTCGCCATGGTAACCGGGCGTGGCGGGGCGGGAGCGCGCCCCGGAAGCGGAGTCATGGCGGCGGCGGCGGGGGCCGCGTTGCTGRTGCTGCTGATGGCGGCGGTGCTGGCGGAGGGCGACGACTCGGACTGGGTGCGACTGCCCAGCAAGTGCGAGGGTAAGCGGGGCYTCGGGGGACCGGGGTGATCCGCCGCTGTCTGCTCGGGCCGGGGGCGGTTGGTGCGGGGCTGCGCCCCCGCGGGCTGCCCCTCTGCCCGCCTCCTGCCCGCGGGCACCGCTGTCCCCGGCAGTCGCTGATCGCCCGCCGGTTCGTAGCTGGGACTGGTCGTCTGTGCTGCTCACAGTTTGGTCTCCGTGATGCTGAGTATCCCTTTGGTTCACAGGCAGTCCAGGCTAGGTCATGACGGACATTTGCTGTCTGCTGCGTTTTCCTCTGTCTTTGCCGTGCAGGCTTGTGGGGATCTCGACAACAGAGGAAATAAATAGGGAGCTCTTTACRAAGCTTTCCCTGCCGGGGAAGCAGCTCTGGAGACACTGATGTCCGATCTCTGGTGTGGCACCAGTGTAACCTCAGAGAAGCGTCAGAGCAAACACTGACCGCACTCCGCTCCTCTTCCTGGCCAGGCTTGGAACCTCTGGCAGTGAACAGCAAAAGTTGTAGGAAGCGTTTGGATAACTGGACTCAGCAGTGAGCCCTCCTGGCATGTGTGGGGACATTGCAGCAGATGTGGTGTGGAGTGGGACATCCTTGAGCCCTGATTTCCAAGGGGCTGCAGGAAGGAACGATCATCCCACTGGAGAAATGGCCACAGTCACCTCCAGCCCCTGGTGCCGGCAGAGAAAGGATCATGCAGGAGGTGTGCACAGGGCTTCTCAACATGTGCATGGGAGCTCCAGAGAAGCCACTTCACTCTGTTCCTGCCTGAGGCATCTCTCCACTCACAAAATTGCCTGGGAGAAGACAGTGGCTCACTGCTGTCAGAYTGTTCCTGCTTCTAATGTGGAGCTCAAAGAAGATGTGGCTCCTGACAGAAAGGAGCCCGTGGCACAGGACAAAGCTTTCTCCAGCCTCCTGAGACCCTGTCTTTGGGAGAGGAATGGCCACACCATGCCTGGCTTCCATCCCTCCACACTCCCACTTGTAAACCCCTGAGATATCTCTCCTGCTCTGTTTCTATAGCTCTGTTGGGCTCTTTTTTGCAGAAGAAATAAAGCATTTTTTTTTTTTAGTTTTATAAAAGTAACCATGCGCTGTGTTCTAAATTTGTTTTTGATGAGATCTCTGCTGCTGGCAGAGCCCAGGTTGAGTTGCTGGAGCTCATGGGCAGCACCTTGTCCTGCCACCCGGCCCACCGAACCCTGCCAGCTGCTTGGTCCCCAGCACAGCCCCCGTGTCCCCAGAGCACTGAGAGCACAGAACTGGTACCAAGTGGGACGTCCTGTGGTCATGAGAAGCAGCTGTGAGCCACGCTGGGATTTGCATTGAAGAAAAACCCTGTCCCCTCCCAAAAGTGGTGGGGTGGTAGAAGCTTTTGGGGGGAAACCTGTAGGAAGAACTGAGCCTGTGTGGCTTCCCAGCTGTGCCAGAGCAGCTGGCTTGCACTGAAACTGGTTTGGATGTTCCTGCTTCAAGGTTCTGCAATGGAAGCATCTGAGCCATTCCTGGTTATTTCTGAGAATGGCTGAGATGTTCTGTGCTCACAGCAGCTTTGGTGTGCCCRGTTCCTGGTGCTGGTTCTTGCTGCTGTCCCAGGTGCTCTGTCACCCTCCCCATCAGAACAGTGACACCCCCTAAGCCGCTTGTGCTCTCTCCTTTCCACAGTGTGCAAGTATGTGGCTGTGGAGCTGAAATCCGCCTTTGAGGAGACGGGCAAGACCAAGGAGGTGATTGACACCAAGTAYGGCTTCCTGGACGGGAAGGGCTCTGCTGTCAAGTACACACAGTCGTAAGTGGGAATGGGACGGGAGTCTCCTGCTGCTGTCGCTGCCTCCAGAGCTGGGGGCTTTGGGAGGTTCACCCTGTGCCTGAGCCCTTCYTCCTCTCCGTGCAGGGACATCCGGTTAATCGAGGTGACAGAGAACATCTGCAAGCGGCTCTTGGAGTACAAYCTGCACAAGGAGAGGAGCGGCAGTAACAGATTCGCAAAGGTGAGGGCTGTTCCTCCAGTTCCTGCTCCCAAATGTGCCTTGCCCATCGCTGCACTGCCAGAGTTCCTGCCAGTGCGTGGCCTGTGAGGCCACACTGCCCCCCAAGTCAGATGTGGGGTGCTGGCTTTGGTGGCAGTGGGCAGGCCATGCATGGAGGGAGCCAGGGGTTCCTTTCCTCTTGGGTTTGGGACCGGATTTCCAGAAGGGGACTTGCTGCCRCTTGAATCCCCTCCTGGTAACGCTGATGCCCCAGGGATCCTGATTTTGTCTGGCTTGTATATTCCTGCATTGCTGGGCAGGGTAGTGTGGCTGACASTGGGAGGAGAGTGGGAGCCCAGCAGGAGGAGCACCACCTCACCTGGCAGTGCTGTTCCTCCTTCAGGGCATGTCKGAGACGTTCGAGACCCTGCACAACCTGGTGCACAAGGGCGTCAAGGTGGTGATGGACATCCCCTACGAGCTGTGGAACGAGACCTCCGCTGAGGTAGCTGACCTCAAAAAGCAGGTACTCCACCCCGTGGAATTGGCCCTCAGCAGCTGCTGTGACCTTGTGTGCTGGAGTGGAGGGGGAGAGAGGGTCCAGGGGTGCACGGCTAGGAGGAGGATGTTGGCAGGACCTGCCACCCTRGCCCTGGTCCTGCCACACCAGCACGTGTCTGCAGCTGAGCTCTCCTCTCTGCCCTAGTGCGATGTGCTGGTAGAAGAGTATGAAGATGTGATCGAGGACTGGTACAGGCACCACCAGACGGAGGATCTCTCTCAGTTTCTCTGTGCCAACCACGTGCTRAAAGGAAAAGACACAAGTAAGTCCTAGCTGCTGACAGGGGATGAAATAACAGGAAAGCTCGGGAGGGCAGGGGAGACTTGCTAGAGCACAGGGAGCCCTGCCTCTCCATCAGAGCCCTCTCTGCCCTTCTCTTTCCTAGGCTGCCTGGCAGAGAAGTGGACTGGCAAGAAGGGKGACTTGGCAAGCGTGGGGGAGAAGCAGAGCAAAAAAAAGAGTGGGAAGAAGAAGAAAAAGGGCCGGAAGGATGAGAGCGAGGGAGCTGCCAGCCTTCCGGACACAGGGGAGGCCCTGGAGGGGGTCCAGGAGCAGGCTCCGCTCACCCACAGCCCAGCTGATGAGCTGTAGGCACGCAGCCCCTGCCGCCGGGGCCGCCCGTTCCGGGGTTTCACCCCGCTGTGCCTATGGGTACCAAAGGAAAAGGGACTTGTGACCGGGGGGAGACCGGGGCGCCTGGCCCCGCCTTGCCAGCCTGGGTGCTATCCCGTGAATCGGTGTCACGGAGCCGCGGACCCAGCCCTGCCGCATCCCAGCCGTGGGCTYCAGCTCCGGGAGGCCGCGAGTGCTGCCCCGCCGCCGGCTCCTCGCACGCCGCCGGGACTGTAAATAAAGACGTTTTCCCCAGAGTCGCCGCCGC